TGGCAAATTCTTTTTGCCCAAAACTGTTGAGTTTACACGTGCAGAAGATTTTGTACAGCATTTCTGATTTTAAAAGAAGGCTTGATGTCCGCATCCAGGGGTGCTATACCAAAAAGTTTTATTATTATTTAACAAAAGATGATTCTCACAACATGATTTGTTACAGCCAGCCTTGTAAAAATCTGCTTGGCTCTAATCTTCTTTTTGCATGGAAAAGTAATGGATACATTAAAATTGTGTTCCGTATTGACGAGACTAGAGGAGCATTAAGTATTCGGGATATTCCGTTTCGATAATAGGCAAACTTTGAAGAACAAGAACGCTTGAACTAATTTAAATCTCCCGGTCTAGATGGTGTTCCAGCAAAGCTGTTCTATGAACTTGCTAGACAGCTGGCCAAATCGTTTTGCATTGTCAGCTAGCAATCTGTCGAGGCCTAAAATCTTTCCACAGATTTGAAAACAGACCGTTTCACAAAAGCGATAGTCGTGTAATTTTGAACAACTACTGATCCCTTGATTTGACCTCTATATGCTGCAGGGTTATGAAGATGATCATCGAAAAGGACCTGATGGCTTACTGAGAAACCTACAATCTCTTGTCCAAAGCACAATATGGATTTCGTAGACATAGGTCGTGTGTTAAGAACTTGGTCTATACGATGCAAAGCTAGGCAAGGGCCTTCGATGAAAAAGACACCGTACTTGCGGCTTGCCTTGAATCTTTAAATGTATTCGACAGTGTTCCACGCCAAAGTCCTCTGTCCAATTTCCGAGTGAAGGGCATCGTAGACAAGCCTCTTACATGGATTGGGAATTTCCTCGCTGACCGTTCCCAAGTTGTGTGTAAGATGAGAAAGATTGAGGCCCACAGTCATTAAGAGTGTCGTCCCTCAAGAATCAGTGCTCGGAACAATCATCTTTCGCTTGTCCGTTAATGATTGTGTACAGGAGTAGGACTGTAAGTGTGTCACGTTTGGAGGTGATATAGAAATATGCAAGTTCATCAAGAGTGCCGTCGATGAGGCCGACTTCCCATAAAACCTTTCACGATTTAAAAAGTAGTCACGCAGATGGTTCCTTCCAGCCATCCTAACAGATGGATTCTGCTGCGTCTGAGATGTCAAAATCCGGTTCTTGATACGCGACCCTGATATCTCAATGGAATCCCACTCCGAGAAGCAGACATAAAAAAATTCTCGGCATTTGGATAACAGACCGCCTAAAGCCTTCTTCACAAGGTTATAAGGTGGCTAAAGTTACAACTTCAATGTCATTCTCCATAAAGCGGGCATTTGCCGTTTTCGATCAAGATCGTTTTTTTTTTCAAAAATATTCGGTACTTTTATAAGGACACATCTTGCATACTCGATCCAAGCCTGGAAGCCGTATGCGCAACAGGATTACAAGTTACTCTAAGGGGTGCAGCGGCTGACCAGTAGTTAGGGGCCAAGCTGTACTCTCATATGATATGCGAAAATATTTAACCATAATCTACATCGCCTGCTTTATAGGCAGTTACGCAGAGACTTGATACAAACGTACCATATTGTGTGTGGTTTAGACTTCGACTTCCTGCCCGAAGACATTTCCCAATTCGCCGCTAAAAAGTTATCTCTGGGGCGACTGAATGT